AGCCCAGTGAGGTTGCTACCAAACGTTTCTTACTGACGCTGGTCTATGACTAAGGCTTATATCAGATAATAGCAACAGAATTTATTCCCTCGCTTTGGTATTGTGCTCTTGTGCTCTTCAAAATTTAAAAAATCCCGGTCCCTTTTAATTCTTGCAAACTAGATGTAATGGCAGTCACATTTGGTCAGTTGTTCTTAAGGGGGATTAATGTATTTTGTGGTTATGTCACTACTTAAATGCTAATGTTTATAGTGATGTAAGAGGCACAGCAGGGGAATGTAAGTCACCCTGTTCTCTCTCCTTCCACTGTAAAGATATATATGGCTTCTCTTTTCAGCCACGTAGTTACCATGCTGGAAATGTGGCTCTGGCACTGCTGCAGGTCTTGTATAACATGATTCAAATTCAAAGAAATGCTTGGGATCCTTTGGGAAAGACGTACCAGGGCACGTTACTCGGAGCGTAGCTCAGTGAGATACTACAGCTTGTGCTTTTGTTCCTGAACTGAGGCCCTGTTGGTACTGTCTTGTCAATTAAATTAAAACTTTAAAACAATTGTAAGAAGCAGGCCATCATAATTACCTTTGTGGGTACAATTTGGGTATGAAAATACGTTCTGTTCCCAGGTGTGTGAGCTCTCAGGAGTCTTACACCACGTTGAGAGGTTTGGTCCAACTACCTGGATCTAGGAGTTTGTTAATTTATTTTCTGAGCCTCATCTGCAATTCAGCAGTCACTCCATGTCGTAGCCTGAACCCCTTACTACTCTGCACAGCCCAGAATGGGAGACCTTTTAACAGGATTACTACAACTGTTTAATTTCTGGGTACACCTAACAACTTGAATTATTCCACCACATGAACAGGGAGCCATTGCTGTACCCCATACTCCTCTACATTTCCTTCTCCTACCTTGAGATGGTCAGGCTGTACCATGTTTGTGGACTCCACCATCTATTCTGTTTCCTTGACGTGTAGGTGTCATTTAAGGAGAAACTCAATTAAACTTAACTGCTTTACTGAGCAGAACTGAGCTTACATACATTTAATGTCAATGTTTTACTGGGCTCAGCATCCCTTCTGAGGATGCTTCTGTGTGCCTTTGTCACTATGTAGCACACGCTGCTCACAATATTAATTCTGTTTTGAGCATGCGGAGGGTTTTTTAAATGACTTTTAACAACAGATTTAATTAACACTTAAAGGTTTTTTTTAAACTTCTGGATGTTTCTTTGTACAGCTGACAGGACATGCATGCAGGGCAGTGCAGCGCTGTGTTTTCAGACACAAGCAGGAAGAAACAAAGTATTAATGTTGACAGTCTAAAAAAAAATTAAAAAAAAAAAAAAAAAAAAAAAAAAAAAAATTCCTTCCAAACTTTCTCATGCCCTGATGTGAAGGGGTTGAATGTGCATGTTGCCTTCCGGGAGAACTGGTGTCATTTCCTCAAATGGGTGAAAGAGCAGAACATTTTAACCCACAATGTACCATACCATGGAAGCAGTTTACACATCTCTTGTTCTTAAAAGAGATTGGCTCATCGTGATCTTTAGTCATTCAATTTAATTGAAGAATTATTAAACAGTCTGCAAGAAGCTTACCCCTGCCTTGCCCAGAAGCTATTCTGATTTATTTCCCTAATAAAATTACCATCATTATCCTCTGCCTTTAATCCATCCTGGTTCTTATACGAAGGTTTCAGATCCACCTTCTGTTTTCATCATGCAGTGACCACAAAGCAGATCAGAGTTGCTTTCTTTTTTAAAAAAACTTTTTGGCTCCTTATTTGCAGGCCCATATTATATGAACATCTTCCCCTTAAAGTCTTTAACTAGGAGAAAGGCCTTAAACTTAAAGGCTAACCATCATCTGAAGACTCCGAGGTCCCATATTATCTTCTTTCATAGGAAGCTCTTAAAGAAGTAGCACGAACTATTACAACTGCCGTGCCTGGTGTTTATTTAGCACGACTCTTCAGAGCACTCCTCCTTTTAATCTGTTTCTCAGCAAAAAGATGACCGTGTAAATCCAAAAGTCACCGTTCATATCGGTCTGCAGAGCTGCAGAACACGATCAGTCGATTTGGGATGTGTGGATTGTATAGTAGATGGAAACCTTGGTGTCACAAAAAGGGCTGCTGTGAAGCAGTCTTTTTTTCTACAAGGATATGCTGGAATTTCAACAGTTTGAGGATTTTTAAAGTAGTTCAACACGTTAAGCTTTTCCCTTTTTGTACTTTATGTCTTTGATTCAAAAGCTGAAATACAGTTGCTGGTAGGGACTGGCAGGCATGGACTTTGCCAGTTGTCACAATCAAATGACGAATCTTCACCATTTGGTGTACAGCCAATATAGCACTTGTGATGGGTTTGTAAGGATAGGCAGCTGTCCTGTAGTTTTCATGTGGTTTGTGAATTCTTATGTTACATGCTGTGGCTTTGGATTGCATCTCTTCAGACTCAGATTACATAGATAAATAATTTTATAACCTATTCTAAATTTTACAGATGTTATGCCAGATACTTCATGCAAGATTAATCCCGTCCTCTCCTAAAAATCTAAACTTTTAGGAAAGGAGAAATAGGTACTGAGGTCCGTAGAAGGATGCTATCACGCTTGACTGTTCAGTTTCTCCCTGGCTTCTAGTTTCTTTGATGCGCCACAGCTCTGTAGCTGTAGGAGGAACACTCCCCATGACCCAACTGGTTGAGTTCGTTTAGCTGCAGTTTAAGGAAGGCCCTGAGCAAGAGACAAGAAAGAAAGGCTTCCATTTCTAATTCTGGAAAATAGAAAAAGGTATTTAAATAAGGCCTGGAGGACTTCTGATTTGCCAGAAGTCAGTAAAAAGGCAAGTTTATATCCTTTTGTAATCACTGTAATTGAAAGGATGTATATTTCTTTTCCTGAAGTCAGCAGAAAAATCCTGGCCTCTTAATGATGAAAGACTTTTTTTTAAAAAAAAAAAAAAATTCTCCTAAGCACAAATAGCTGAAGTTTCCACTTCAAACTTGGGTGGCTCATTCATATTTCACTTAATGGTAATATGGTATCCTCTCTCCCTTCCTCCCCCTTCTTACCACCAAGGCTAAAAAGGAGGCGGGGAGATATAAAATGTTTCCGAAAATTACAGGAAACGTCTGTTCCTTTAACAGCATTGCCAGGGAATTTCCAAATGTGCTTAATGCTTATGGCTAAACTTGCAGCAGCTCGGTCTTCAATCATGAGTGGATCCTGTTCTAAAAATGTGACACCTCCTTCCAGTAAACTGTGTTGAAATTAAGTATACGCTTTGTTTCTCGTCTGCTCTTCAGCAGAATTAATTGCACCCAATGGTGAAATGAGGGCTCTTGTGGGCTGTTTTAAACTCTCAAGTCATTAAAGTGGGAAAAATAGTATATAGTTTCCTGAGGTGGTAGCTCATTTATTTGTAAGGACTTTGTAGAGTCATGGATAACAGGTATTAGTGAATGAGAAGACTACCTGGCAGTTTCCAGAGAGACAAGAAACTGCATGTGAAGCACTAAGGAACTAAAAAAGAGGGATGCTTTTTATCCAAGTACTCTGTTTTCTTGGACTGTCACAAGGTGGTCTCTGATCACAGGGTCTTGCCTTTAGGCAGAGCCTAATCAGTGTAAAGCACTAGTTTAGTTTTAATTTCCAGGGATTAGAAAAGGTGATAGCAAGAAATACATTGAGTGGGATGATGAGCTTTCTCTTTGTTCTCCTTTGCCTTCTGCTGCTGGACTAGGGGAAGGAGCAAGGAAGATGTGCAGAACCTCTTCCTGGGGCTCTGAAGGGTATCTGCCAGCTGGAGCAGGCAGGGGGAGAAACGGACCCGGCACAATCTTCAACAGATCTTCTCATCCATGTCTCTGCCCTGCTGCTCTTGTGTGCACACACCTGGGTGCTACTGACGGACAAGTGAGAGGATCTCCAGCCTGGGACCTCCGTGGGTCATGGTCAGGGTGTCCATCCCAGCGAGCAGAGCGTGTGCTGGGTAGCAAACTCTGCAGTATCTCTCTGAAGGGCTCCAGTCCCATGTCCCTACTGTTGGCGTTTGCAAGGTTTTTAGAGCAGTTGCCTAAAGGCAGAGAGGTGGTTCTTGGAGCTCTTTTCCTTGCGAGGTGACGTGGGTTTTGAATCTGTTCACCACGCAGCCCTCTGTCATATGATTTACTACGCGGTTCGGAGCCACTCCTGGGTTTTGTAATAAGGCAGTGCTTGGCAATAATTTATTATCGTGGTTTATGTTACAGTAATTAAGCGAAGCTGTCATCTCTTGATAGCGATGATTTGAATCTTGTTTTTAGCTGCCCAGGAAACGGTTTGGAATTGACACTAATGTGTTTATTTTTACTTCCTCATGTAAAGGTTATAATTTAATTTGATCATGTAGGAACAGCAGGTGCTTTGTACAGAACTTGTACAGGTATGACTGTACGTAATGTTTGGTGACACCAGTGTTGTCAGTTTCCAGTGTTGTCCTTTTTAGTATGTGGGGAGGTGGGATTAGTCACCTGAGATGTTCTGTTTCGTTAAATTTTTGTCCGTGCGAAATATAGCTGTAATCAGATTTATGGCAATCTCTCACATTAACAGATACTGAACAAGAATTTGTGAATTTGCTTGAATTCATGCAAATGCATCATCAGTGAACACTAGTTACAGATTAGTTTTCTAGCCGGAAAATGTGTCATATTGTTTGGAAGGTGTTGGTTGGTTGGTTTGTTTTTTTAAGCATCTCCAAACTTTTTTGGTTTTAAAGACAGTGGAGAAATTTGCTGTGGGTTTTTTTTCTTTTAGAAAATCAGTATAAGATAACTTTCTATTTCTAACCCTTTCCATGTAAATGAATGCTAGCATTTATAAATCTCACCTAGGTTTTCATGTGTTTGGGGAGTTTTACAGCAAATGACTGCACTGAAAGTGTGAAATCTGTTTTCTGGGGTTTTTTTTCCTTGTAACAAGGATTTTTTTATTCTTTTTTTTCCCTGTGTTTAGGTATTTCCTTCTTCTGGCCTTTGTATATGGACCCCCTTCTGTCCTGTTTGGCCCGTTTAGATTTTGACCTAAATGGAGGTGAGTAATTGCTTTTGACATGAAACAATAATGAATTCATATAAAAGTACTCCAGAATTTTCAGTTGCTTTGACTTGGAAGCCGTACAGGGAGAATCATCTTTTAAGAATCCATTAACATTTTTCTTGGTTGCTTAGTGTCCCAGGCAATAGAAAACTAAAAATGTTATGTATTGTAGTGTTTGTTTGGAGTGGATTAGGTAAGATTTAATTCTGAGTGTCACAGAACTGTATGCTGTGAACCTGCAATGAAAAAGTATTTTGAAATGCAAAGAGCTTCTTGCGTGTATGGGTGGAGAAGGGAGTCTGCAGGTAAATTCCCTGAGCTGTTGCATAGAGTGATGTATCACCAGCATGTTCTAAGACTTGCTATGAGCTCGCATTCTATCAGTCAGGTTTTCCTGCTGTAATCCTTATTGTTCCATGGTGAATGTCAAAGGGGTTGGCTTCTGGTAAATGCAAGTGATGATAATGTGGCTTATTGCTTAGAGTTGGTGATGATGCATGGATGATATTTGCAAGAACATTGCACGTATTTCAGGGCTGTGTTGAGTAGATGGTGTTTTGGTGGTATGTGTTTTGGCAGTAGAAGACATTAAATTATTTAAAATACCACTATTTGTATGAAAGCAATACCTTACTGTTATCTAAATGGAAGGTCCATTCATCTCGCTTAGCCCAGCTGTCTTAAGAGTGCTGGTGGTAAAAATGTTGCTGAGCAGTAGGTGTAGAAATAGAGTGAGTTTTAAAATTTATACTGTAAGTCTTTTATGCAGCTTATTCATGGGAAGTTGATTTCTTTTCTGATTCTGCGACTCCACATCTCAGTTTTCAGATTGGTGACAAAAATGAAGTAGGCTGATTTTTCTTTAGAACTAGTAGTCAAAACTAAGTAGTTAGTCAAGTAGGATGAAGGATAATATAGAGTACTGAACTGAAAATTCTCCTTTATCTATTTTTTTTCCAATGGATTATACCTGCCTTTCTCATTAATGTACAACATGTAATCTAACATGCACGTGGCTGTTGTTTCTACAAGGAAGAGAAAATTAACCTTATCCATTTTCACTGCATATACAGCTCTAAAGTACAGATGAATTCAAAGTAGGAGAGGAGGGAGCAGCCATTGTGATAATACAGATAAGCAAAGAGAGCAGAGTAAAATTCTTAAAACTGCTTCTCTTTTATGAGCACAGTACATAAGTGACGTTTAAAAAAAAAATTATAAATATGTGTGTTTCTATTTGAGTGACTTCCTAGCTGCTCTCCACTCCTGCACCAGAATGTGCTCGGGAGGGTGAGGGAAAGTCCCCCAATCACTGTGAGGAAATGATGTGCTTATGAGATGATGACACTTTCTTGAGTCATCTGAAAAGTCAAAAGTCACTGTCATTTCCCTCAGTTGAGGAACACGAGCCCTTGTTAACAGAGCTCTTCTTTTAAATCACAGGCATTTGTAATCTCACCCCTCTGTGGTCTGCACAATGGCAGGCAAGACACAGGCTTCTTATAACCTCAGATGCATTTTTTTTTTTGTCAGACTTTACACTTTATTACACAGTTGTCAATCTCCAGAATTTATTGATTTGCTGAATTCAGAAGAAGTGTAGCTATTCCTCACTTTCACTTAGAAATCTTATTTGTGCTCCATAGACACTTTATGTTTCTCACTGCTGATGAGTAGTAGCAACTTGAGCAAGGATTGACCCTCTCTTCTTGATTGTCACTCAGTTTCTAATAGCATAGATTACAAGTATCACTCCAGAACACCACCTAGTTCCATCTTTCGGAGGCTGGTGAAGGAATGCTGTGGCTGTCATAGATGTTGGGGGGGGGAAAAGACATCTTGGAGGAGTAGGAATTCACCCTGCCATCCCTAGATCAGGAGTTCCTCTCTGATGGAGGTGTTTGTTGAGTACCATGTGTGGCTGTGGTGGTAGGGACTGGTGCTGGTGGTGTTGGCACTGGCTTTTGAACCACTGGCAGCTCCCAGCTCATGAACACTGACGCCACATACTCCTTTGAAAACAGCCGATGTACCAGCAGTGGCATGTCTCCTGCAGTTAAGGATGTCCTGCCTCTGTGTTTTGATTCAGTTTTTGGGTTGCTTTTTTATGCTCGTGCCCATCCTGAGAAACATGAAAGGAAATTTGACTGGAGGGGAGGATAATGCTTTTCTCATATGTGCATGTGTTTGCCTCTAAAAAGTTTAGAAATGCACAGTTTTAAAAAAATCAGCTCTCGGGTGTCTCAGGCTGAGTATGCAAAAGCTACCCTTCAGGACCTTTTAATGTTCAGAGGCTGTAAAGTTATTTTGTTGGTGTTTTGCCATGTGGCAGTGACGTATGTGGGAGTATTGCTGTAGGCACCTGACACAGCAGGCGTTAGTGATGTTGGGAATAAAATTGCTGAGCATTTATGACACCAAGGTTCAACTTCAAGGTTATCTTCTTAGGAGAGGTAGAAGTCTTTCAGAGATTGCAGCAAGGCTCCTGGAAGCTCTTTGTTAATTGCTTAACGGAGGTAGAATTAGAACACTGTCATGAGAGTTTTTAAAAATATATTCTTACTGTATCTGCCTCTCTAAAAATAGTTGCTATCATATGAGCCAAAGCCTGAGATAACTCAAGTGTCCTGCTCTGATGTAAGGGAATTACTTGGAGTTGAAGGGGTGGAAGTAGAAATCAGGACTCTCTACAAATGGTGTTATTTTGACTGAAGAGTCAAACACACAACTTAAGTGCCAGGTTTCCAGTTCTGTGGTTGCCTGCTTTGCTCCATCTGAGCCGTTTGGGATGGGGATTGCTGAGGTGAAGAGAGTTCCTGTAGTTCTGTGGCAGCATTACCTGTACATATTGGAGATCCACTGCTGTTTGTGTGGAAGATAGTAGGAGTTTTGCTGGTTTGGTTCTTTAAACAGCATGGAGAAACTGTAAAGATAACGGGCAAGTGTGGAACAGATCTTTTCAGTTTTACAGTGAGGTAAAAGTTTAGTTTTCTTGTCTAAAAGGAGAGGTAACAAGCCGGGCAGGATGTTGGCAGTCCATCAGCAAGGAGGAGGAAGCCACACAGCGTTACCAGTATGTGTGTGAATGGCTTCATGCAGTATTCTCATAGCTCGGTTACGGATCACTTTTCCATAATCCCTGATTTCAGTGTCGAACATCCTGTGACTCAGATGGTTTCCTAGCTTGAAGATCAGCAACGTAATGGCCTGTTTAGGGCAAAGCATTATGTAGCATCATTTGATGAGACGCTATGGTGTCAATACATGCCATCGAGATCTAAGTCATAAGTAGCACAGCAGAAAGAGAACGGTCAAGAAATTGAAATCAGTCTTTTACAAATTATGATTATGAATGAAGCAGATAATTCAACACCTGACTGATGAGAGCAGTCACCAGGGAGGGGAGGAGAGCTCTAGTGCTTCCCTAGAGCAGGAGGCTACCGGTTTCTTTTATTCAGATGGGTCCCAAGGTAGAGAGTCCCAAAGTCTGATAGTACCAGAAACAGAGAGAATTAAAACAAAGCAAAAACCTGTAATTGATGAAAATATTGCTCTTCCCTTGACTAATGAAGCTGTTCCTGTCAAAATAGGATTTCAATCACAATAACGCGAGGTGATATTACGGCTACATTTATTACTTTCAAGACTAAAACCAGAATACTTTTAGAAACTTAACACAGAGCTATTCGTTGAAGTAATGGTGTTATTTAAAAGGATTCTTGACCAGTAGCCCACCTACCTTATGTTCTTTACATGCTCTTTACCCAATAACCATATATGCCAAGTTTGAGGTTTTTTTAAGGGTCTTCTAAAACAAACTTCTATCGTACAAAAAGGCTCAGACAGTGAGGAGTAAGCGTTTAGTAGATAAGAAATATACCCAGACTAAAAGTTTCAAATATAAGAGTACCTATATTTAACAGCCTGTGTTTTAGAGTTCTGTAGTTTCTCAGCTGCTTTATTTTCCTGTTATTACTTTATTTAAGTCAGCAATTTACCCATCAAAACAAACTGTCTAGTTCATGAACAAACTGTCTAGCTCACAAAGGAGCTAGAGCCAATTCCCACTAGAGCCAGTGGAAAAGTTTTCATTGAGTTCAGTGGGTTTGGTATCTGGCAGCCTTTGATACGAATAAAAGAGAATCAAATTTCTTGACAGGACATGTTAAGAGAAGTACAAAAAAAAAAAAAAATGCAGAATACTTTTTTCTCACTGAAAAAAAAAAAATTGGACACAACTATCAAGTTTCACTTCCCCCCCCCCTCACATAATGGCAGAGTCTTTTGATACCTTCCTGAGGCCAGTATATAATGACTGCTCTTTGAGGGGGCGCACACCTGCCAACCAGGTTGCAAAGTTAGGGGGTTTTTTAATAGGTTTAATTAAGGCTTGGTATAGTAACTTTTCCAATAATTTTATATTTTAGAGCAAAATGCATTTCACTGCTATACACTTCCATTTATCTGGACAAGCTTAAAAGCACTGGCTTTATAGCACTAGAGTCAGGACAAATAGAAAATCACATTTTGTCAACCTAATGGCTGTGTATGTGGAACCTGATGTTTTTCTTGTATTGCTATGTGAAACACTCACAAAATGAGTTTCTTTCAGTTTTCTTTTTTTTGAGTTGTTAAAGTGAATTTTGTACTTTTTTTTTTCAGAATTCAATTTATTTAAGATTTTGTGTGTGTGTGTGTATTTGTAGAATATATCTAATGAGTAAAAACATCTGCTGGCCTGGGATGAGTAAAACACAACTATCTATCAATTAGTTTGAATTCATGACTTCTGTTGCAACTAAGATAAATAACAAACATTTCAAACTGAAGCCACAAGTCAACACTATAAGTAAAATACAAGTTTTCTAGTTGAAACTGAGAATGTAAATTTTTAAAAAAATATATAAAATCTTCATCCCCATATGTGTGTGTGCATCCCCTTAATATGTTTATTAAAAATCCATGTAGACGTATCCTCATAACTTGCTTCTGTTTAGAAATATTTTGCTGCCTCAGGAATGCCAGTCAATTGAATTTTTATTTTCTTCATCATCTGGCCACTTCAGATTCCTGCCAGTTGTGTTACTTTGCTTTGTCCCAGCCAGCAGCCAGCAGAGGTACAAAGGCTGCTTGGCTTACAGGCTGGGTGGCATGGGCCAGAAGTGACTTAAGACTTGCTTGAAGATGCACTTTGCCTTGTACAGGAGGGGTTGGATAGTTTTGCTGACCTAAAATTGCTTCCCCAAACGGGGAAAAGGGAATGTGATGGTGTGAGACACGCAAACTGGAGAAATGTGGTTTCTTGGCTTTACCCTGTGCTGATTTGAGCCCAGGTTGCTCATTTCCAAACCGTCTGCTATAGTGACGAGGTGAGGAACTCTTGTCAGGCTTGTTCTTTCACGCAGGCTCTAAAGCTCTTAGTGCTGATGAAAATTATTATAAGGTAAGGTTTGCACAAGACGTGAAAGCTGTATAGTCGCATGGCTTAACAAGGTTATTTTCCGTCGAACTGCAGTTGTTTTTAAAAGTGGAAAAATAAGAATGAATATGTATCATCCACTGTTTTCTAACCTGTGAGCTCTGCCACCTCCGTCACCACCCTCAGCTGTCCCCTCTTGCTGGAGTTTGTCACTGTGGCAGCTGGACGTGTGGCATGTGTTTCCTCTGGGAGGAAGGTTGCAACCTCACATAGACAGCTGTCTGTAAATATCCATGATTGCCCTAAGAGACCAAGTTCTGAACTGTGGGGGCAAAGCAAGTCAACTCCTGTTTCCTGTTGCATCTACAGCTGCGGCACTGCATGTGCAAAAATGCAGCTGAATCCCTTACAGACAAAGCCCTGTGGTGGCTCCTTTCTGAGCGGTCCTACAGGCACTTGTTCCATCAAAGTGGGTTTTGGGAGACTCTGAAAAGCCTGAGGACAGCTGTGAGGCAGTAATACCCATAGGTGGTGAAACACGGCAGGTGTTTTTACTGCTCTCTTGCTGCCGCTGTTTCAGGTGATGTGGTTGGGATGCTGTCACCATCTAATTTTACAAAAGTATAGTTTGCTTCAGATATTATTTAGCGTGTGTGAAAAGTGTAATGCACCTCACGTTACTGTCCCACCTGCTCCAGAAGGGCCAAAGACAGTGCCCACTGCTTTACCTTTCAGTAGTGTATTCATGAGGCCACTGTTCCATGTCTGCTGATTAATTCACATAAAATGTTTGTGTCCCGAGGTAGCAGCTTGTTCTTCTGGTTTCTCTTCAACGATGTTCGTGAAGGAGAGAGGTGGATCTAAGTTTTGTCCTTTCTTCAGTACAGTTTAAGTTCCCCGACTTGCAGTGCTGGTTTGGGAAATACTTTCCAAGGCATTAAACTTTTAAAATGTATCTTAAGTAATTTTACAACTTCTTACTGGGCGGTGAAGTGCTGAAACACATTTAATTTGTTTTGTTATTGAAAGGAATACCATGATTTAGGGCAGTATCTCTTAATTATATTCTAACAAAGTCTTGCGAAGAGGCAGAGCTAGTGGCAACAAAAGTCTGCAATTAAGACAGGATATGTTGCCTGAAATACAAGATAATTGTCCAGACAAGATCATTGGAATAGATTCAGACGCTGTAGATGCAAATACTCTCTCTAAGTGTTTGGCATATAGAGCAGAGAGGGGAACTTCTCAGAAGTGTATTTATTATATGGTACAGACCACTGTGCAGTCAGCCTCTGAGTTGGAATGTTTTGTTCTGCAAACTTTCATGGCCTCATCTGATTTGTGTGTTGTTTGTTTTTTTGATTTTTTTTTTTTTTTTTTTTCCCCATCTTCCCCTTCTTACAGGCTCTTAGTCTGGTGTAAAGCTGATGGGTGGGAGCAAAGGTAAAGAATGATGTAATGCAGCAGCAGCCAGAAAGCATCTTTTGTTTGAATTGTGAAATGGCTACTCCATAGTCATCTCCCGATGAATCAGATGTGAGGGGCTGCTTTGTGGAACGAACCCTTTGTAACAGCACATCAACTGGAAGCAGGAGGAGACATTCAGTTGAAGAGCTCTTTCTGAAAATGGGTTTAACTTTTCTTTTGCCAGTCACTACCAGCATGACCTCATACACTTCTAGTACAATGGTGTGGCTAAGCCTTTGAGTACACAGCCATTACATCATCGCAGCAAATTAGAGAGGGAGGTGGTGAAAGAGGCCTTATTGTTGTCATGGCCGATGAGATGATCAGGACTCAACTCATTGTCGCCGAGAAGTTGGTGGCTTTGCTGGAGAGTGGTACAGAAAAATTGCTGCTGATTGATAGCCGCCCCTTTGTGGAATACAATACGTCCCACATCTTGGATGCCATCAACATCAACTGCTCCAAGCTTATGAAGCGGAGGCTGCAGCAGGACAAAGTTTTGATTACAGAGCTCATTCAGCATTCAGCAAAACACAAGGTAGGGGTCATTTCCTTCTTATTCCTTGTATTTGTTTGAAGGAGTGCCTGGAAAGCAGCTTGTAATAATTTCTGTTTAGGTATTTAATTTAAAAAAAACAAAAAACAACCCCACAACAAACTAGGGGACTGAGTTTTGCTGAGCTCTTACCTAATCTAAGAGGGTATTAGTTACCACTAAGTTTATCTTTGGGATTCTTTGTAACCTGCTCTCCCCTAAGCGACAGAGTAATGGGGAGGGATTTGGAAATTGCTCCAAAAGAATGCTCTCAGGGTTCTTGTATGTCTTGCAAAGCACAGTCCCTAAAATGTCTGTAATTAGGGCAGCAAACATTCTCCTTCTAAACTTCGAAGAATTCTTTGGGGTCCGTGGTGGTGGGGATTGCTTTAGCGAGGGGTCATACAGTTTGCAAATAAACTGTAGCTCTGTCCATCCTGGCTCCTACTTGCTGCTTAAAATGCCTTTCCTCTGAGTAGTTTAATGGGGTTTGGTTGTTTGTTTTGGGTTATTTGTTGGGGTTTTTTTGGTTGGTTGTTTGTTTTTCTAAATAGCGTTAACAGTGAAAAGAAAATTGCTAAGATGCTTAAACTTAATATCTATCCCTGTGTGAGGTTTTTGCTTTTTTTTTTTTTTTTTTAATCCATTGGTACTTGTTTCAAATGTTTTGGGGGCAAAAATAATCTATTACATTCTTGCTTTAACATACTAAAAAAATGAAGCTTTTAAAATTATTATTACTATTATCTAAAGCATATTTTATGCATAAAGCTGTATAGATGGTTAAAATGTGTGTGGCTTCAGGCAGTTTAAGGTCTCTTTATACAGAAAAATCCCAGAAGCAGAAACTGAGTTAGGTCCTTCTTTTAAAAAGCTTAGTTCTAAACCAAACCAACCAACCTAGCTGAAGGTAAAGCATTTTACAAGTGTCATAAAATTACCTAATGGTAGGAATTTGCAGTGTATGCTTCAACTTAGAGTAAATAATAAATTTACAAACTGTCAAAGGAATTAAATCTGATCAGGCATATTAAGTATAAAATAGGGAGTGTTTTACGTACAGTTACGTAAGAAATCTGTGTCTCTGAACTGCTGCATAGCAAGTATGTGGGAACCCTGATGTGGTGCTTTTAATCATCTTCCTCCTTCCTATCTTACTCGGAATGACTTGTATTTCAGATCGAAATTGATTGCAAGCAGGAAGTGGTGGTGTATGACCAAAGCTCTAAAGATGTGACCTCTCTCTCATCTGACTGCTTTCTTACCGTGCTCCTGGGCAAACTGGAGAAGAATTTCAGCTCTGTGTATCTGCTTTCAGGTATGATGTGCCAACAAAAAAAAAAAAAAAAAAAAAAAAAAAAAAAAAAAAAAAAAAAGACACACTTGAATAAGGAGAAGAAAGAAAAAGCTATTGTTATAGCAGATGTGTACACAGTTTTGCAATGGTGCTGGTATGAACTTCAGTTACAGCATAGCTTTTTCTGTAGTTCTTTATGCATGTAGTGACACTCATAATACATAAAATGCTTGGAAATTGCATCTTACAGGGGATATATTACACCATTAGTGCTATGTAAATGGAAATTGATAGATGCAGGGGTTTTAGATGCAGATGTCTGACATTTTAGGGACAAAAATAGTAAAAGAAATGTGCTTCCCTGGTCTTTTAAGTATTGTACATGCTAGGATGAAAATCTTTTGCTTGATGAATTGGTAATTACTACAGTAAGAACAAGAGAAATGATCTCCCAGAGTTAGGGAGATTATTTTGTGTGACTTTTTCAACTTCAGCTCCTTAAGTGGTAGTACTCTAGTTAGGTCTTCTCCCTCACTCAGTTCTTTTTTTTGCTTGTTTGTTTGGTGTTTTGTTTTGTTTTGTTTTAAATCCCAGGTTAAAGCATCCATAGAAATGCAAGTCCTAGATCTGTTGGTGTTCATATGCGATTGTGTTGTTACTTGTGTCATGGAGCAGTAGACCCAGCATTCACAAGAAGGGACAAGGAGGGGCATGAAGTAGATCCAGTGCTGAAAGAAGAGGGAATGATGAATACAAGTAGGAAATGCATTGCAGTGACTCGATCAGTGACCTAATGAAGGGTATGCCTAGTTTTTGGGAAATGTTAAAACTACAGTCGAAAGACTGAATAGTGATGAGGGAAAGGGAAAGAACCCCAGAGAGATGCTTCCTCTTGCAAAAAGGGTTCTCTGAGGTTCGTAGTGACTTCAGATGAAAGTGATAGGGAGGTGGTTGTGTTACTGAGAGAACTCCTGAACTATTTTGAAAGTGAGTACAGAGAAAATGAATCATTTCTGCACTGGGATGGGTGTGTTCGGTGCTCATGTGAGCTGTACTTACGGTAAACTAAGTAGGGTTTTGCTTTGGCTGTGTTTGGTGCTTCTACTTTCTTTTCTGGTGGGTTGTGGACCACAGTATTAGATTAAGTAACTCTTCTTCCATATGAGCCACCAAGTAAATGTGTGGTGTCTAGGCACAGTAAATACATAATGTAAGAGCACTGAAATTTGTTAACGCTCCCTTAAATTTAAAACTGTTATTTAAAAACATAGGCCAGTCTAGAAGCAGTTCATGTCTCAAGAAATCCTTATATTGTTCGAATACTCAGCTCTGCTCATCTGTCCTGAGGTTTTTTTAATAACCAGAACCATATTACAGCTCCATGCAGCAATACAGACTACTCACAAATTATTTTCCGTGGTAGAAAGAGAGACAGCTCTCTATGAACTGGGAATTAGAGTTCATGGCAGGGAGGAGATGGGAGGGGAGATCCTTAATAAGGCCAAGCAGAGGGGAGTATCACAAAACTTCCCTTCCTTCTACTGTCCCTCTGTGGATTAGTTGTGTGAGCCATGGCTTCACCCTTCTTTCTCCTCTGCTGGACCCTGTGAAGGAGGTGGTCAGAGTCTATCCTGAGACTTGCCTGTGGCTCCTGTAGGAATGGACAGTACCAGGAAGGGAGTGTTCCCCAGTGTGTAGTCTGGGCAAACACCAGTTGTGTGTATCATAATGATACTGTGAGAAATTGTTTGGGTTTGGTTTTATTTCTAGCCTCTGGTCGTTGTCTGCTCAAGCTGAAAATGCACCTTAAACCACATGCAAGATATTCGTGTGTGTTAGCTAGTTGAGGTGAATTTAGACACATTCAGCTGGTAAGGAATAGGTTGGGTGTAAAAAGGAGAGAAAGGGAATCTGTTGTGTTAAACCCTCCTGATAGAAAGGAGGATTTTTATTTTAGCATGTCAGATGGCATTTCTCTTGGCAAAGATTAGACTTGAGAATTTCATGTATTTTTTTGTTAAATAGAGTGATGGGGATCTTTGTAAATGCAGAAACAATTGATGGCTTTAGAACCAGTGGTAGAGGAGTGTAAGAATAAAAGGGAAGTGTAAGGAAAGAGTTTACTACTGATCTGTTAACAGGTGTTTATTTCAGGAAATATACCCAACTAAGATGAGTTGGTAGTAAATAACGTCAATAGTATTCCTTCAGCTCTCTAGCATTTCCTTCTCTTACAATGAGTTTGCTCTGATTATAATCCTTTACATAAGAAAATACAATACAATTCACGATCTTTCTGGGTTTTTTGCATCTATTTAAAAGCTAGCTACTTAACAAACACACACACACAAGAAACATTTTGGGATGTAGGGTGAAGGAGAAGGTGCTAGATTCAGCCTTGTGGAAAGTTCCCTGGAGATTATTGATACATGGTTCTAGGAAACTAGATAAAAAGTGTTGTCTCAGCAAGCTGATGACGAACTCTCATAAATGTTTATGGCCCATAATGAGGGTAGGGGTCAGCGCACCGTGTTAGAAGAAAAACCTTTGGACTTGAATTTTCTCTGTGCCATTCAATCTGGTTTTATTGAAAATAGTGACCTTAAATAAACATTTTGTGGTAGGAAAATATTTTTTTTGTTGGGATAAAATAGAGCAATTAACAAATATCTGAAATTCCTGCCTCTGTTCTTCCTGCCTCCCCCCATTACTGAGCACTTGGTGAGGTGGTTTTTTTATTTAGGTTGTACATAAAGATATGCTCTACCCTGGAGGTTGTTTTTCATTGAAGTAACTAATGTAAAGACCTCAAAGGAACCCTTACCAATTAGTTAAGCTCTTGATCTAACATAAAAATATTTATATTCTGGTGGGGAATGTTTACAGGAATTGAAATATTTGGTTTGGTTCTTAATTTTTAACAACGTGCAAAACACTGAAATGTGGATACTGAAGGTTTAACCCCACTCCCATCGTTGCATCTACTCTGCTGAGTTAAATAATATTTAAAGACAGGGATTGATTCCTTCTCTTCCCATATTTTGAAAACTGGGATTTACATTGAGTCCTTTTCCTAGTCACAGTATTTTTACAATGTTTCTGCTTGCTCTGCAGAAACCATTCAGAGACACTCCTGATTCTTGCTTGAATTAGCATTATCAAGGTGGTGGACATCAAGAGTCTTACTTAAATTCTATTCCACTATACCAATAGAAATCATTCATGTTCTGCTTTCCTAAAACACATGCTCTTCCCTACTGCTCTTAATCCAGTTTACTCCTACTTGTGCAAGTACAAATGTCTTTGTGATGGTTACCTTTCAAATGTTGCCTGTGAAGAAGATGAAGCACTGCTTTTTATTTTGTGTCTTGGGTTTGTTTTCTTTCTTCAGAGAGTCATTCTAAACAGAAGGATTTCTGAAAAAACAGAAATGCCCACCTTTCTGTATTTCCAACCTCACATTGAAAATTGTAATAGCCTAACAGAGAAACACTGTACTGGCTCTGAGGAGTTCATCAACTCAGGTGGATGTGGTACATGTCCAGGAAGGACTAGCTAAACTTCAGAGTCCTGTAATGATCATAGACACAGTTTCACTGAACTCTCTTAAGAATCTTCTAGTGCTGCAAGACCAGAGCGTATTTTGCCAGCAAACCATGAAGGACAATTTTTTCTATCAGTCACTGAATTGCCACTTAGGCTGGATGTACTTGTGGTGTTCAATGCCACTGAGCACAATCAGTATGGAAAACTTAAATAATGTACCAGATTGTAAAGTGTACAGGTGCAAGGGGAATTAAATATGCTGGAAGCCTTTTGTGAGCTTCTACAGGGCACAAAACTGGCGTGATAAGCAGAAAGACATAAATCATTAATTTTCTATTCAGTGACGAATGAAGGTCACACATGCAGTGGACAGCGAATGAAGTCATAAGCTGTGAGTGAGTATGTAAGGAAACAGCAAACAGAATGAGTTCAGTGAGATTGGGCAAAGGTCCTGGAAACAACATAGTGAGTGATTACCCAGGGCGATTGCAAAAGGTATGTTTTTGCTGAAACTTTCTAAATCGTTGTTTCCCCCGGCCTGTCCCTCACCTAACAGAGTGTGTGTACGTAATGGAAAACTTGCAAGGAGATTCCAAGGAGAAGGAAGCAAGTCAGGAACTCTTATACAGTCTTATTTATGCTGGCATTTTTCTTAAAAATGTTTGAAGTTGGAAGCCCATTTAAAGGAATCCTGGCATAAAAAATGCCAAGTATCTCTAGGGTACACTTACCATTGTGTTGTCTCTACTTGCTTAAAGCAAAGCTGAATGGAAGGAAAGCCCAGTGCTCTCACCCTGCTTTGTCACCAGAAGAACCATGCCTTGTGGAAGGAAGTTAAGAGTATTCTCTTGTAGGTAGAGCTGGTCATCTCTGTCTCCAGAAGTGACCAGTGCTGTGAGTTTGAGCTTTCTTCCCCTCTTCTGCAGTCTCGTATGCCAAGTTGGAGATTACCCAGCGTGGACTGAAAGATGGCATCAGGTAGCTGGGATTTGTGCTGCCTCGTCAATTCCTGTCTAACATCCTGACACCTCTTAACATTTGAATTTGGAGCTTAGTAGCTTTTGATTGTGGCTTACTGAAGTTCTGAGTGGTCCCTATACGTAAGACTTTGCAGGGTGCCTCCAGGAGAAGAGCACACCTTCAGATGGTGGTCATTGATGAAAATAATCACACTTCTCTGCAAGTTGAAATAATTATGGTGGGAATGAGCTGTTAAATATCCTGCCAGCATTTAGAGAAGGAAGGATAGTTGCACAACGATGCCAGCTTTCCTGATGCTCTGGTTGATGCCGTTAGAAGCAAGTGTCTGTTGAAGGAGGTGGAAATCTTGCCGAGGGAGTGCACACTAATCCCCAAGTGGCCCTGTAACCTATGGAGTACAGCCAGTGTTGGTGGGGAGGAGATGAGAGTGAGGGGAGCTCAGCTCTGAATCGCCCTCTCCAAAAGTCTCCCTCTTCATCAATTTTTAATGAGAG